CACAGCTGTGCCACTGGCATCTGCTCCCTCTGCACACTTACTCTCATGCCTCTGAACTCATGCTGTCTCTGTGGATAAAGTGACTGTGCTGATGTTACTAGAATTAACTACGAATTAACCAGAAAGATGATCACTCCTCTTCAATTTCCATGATGTCAGTCAGAGCTCTTCATTCCTTATTTCTCCCTTTGTGATTCTTCCCCTCAAAAAAGAGATGTTCGCATACTGGGCTACCAAAACAATAAGTGACCATTAGAAAAATCTCCAAGAAATGTAAGGATTTGTCAGTGTCATTCCTTTAACATAACTAGTTTTCAGGACGTTGGTGTGCTTGAATTCTTACATTACCACTCTAACTTGTCCCTCTGTAGTTTTTTATAATTTATATGAGGAAAGCATCTTTTATGAAATCTACCTTCCTACGTCCTCATTATAATCCAACAACAATAGCATGTCTGTTTGTCCCTGTTTTCATCCTAATCTGGGGTCCTATGACATGTTAAAAACGTGTTCTCTGGGGGGAAATCTGTCATGTAAAATTGAGAAGAATTGCAAATGATATCTCTCTTTTGAAAATTTTCGAAGCCCAGTAGCATAGTAAAGGTTTGGGGAAATCCTGAAGTAAAGATATGGACTTAATTTTAACTCAGCTTTGACCATTCTTATCGGAGTATTTTTTCTAGTTATTTGACTATTGGCCTTCGACTTCGCACTGTCTCAATTTTTGCATCTCAGAGGCTGGAAGCCTGAAAACGACATCTCCCAGACTCTCTCACCAGCTGAGTCCGGCACAGGAGGTCCTGGCAAAAGGTCAGAAAGCAGAAGGAGGAGAGGAGCCCTATTTTCCTCCCTGTGCTCTGGCTCGGGCAGCGGCGGCGGCAGAGGACAATTAGTCGCTCCAGCAGCAGCAGCGGCAAGTCGATGGGCAAACACAGGACTGTAGCTTCCAGAAGCCTGAAGTCCCAGTGAGGACTGGGACCCCTGGCTTCCTGTGAAGTAGCAGCTGTGGCGGTCCCAAGCTCTAGAAGCCTCGGCAGCCAGCGCAGCGCTCCTGGGACCTGGGCGGCAAGCACCCCGTGCCCTTCTGGCAGCTTCCTGGAACTCCTGGTATCTGGGGAGCATCCTTTCACCCCTTTACCCCTTCAGCCCTTAAACACTTCTGCAAACAGTTCTCTGCATTAGTGGCTAAAGGTTGGAAATACCTGAGCTGTTTCTATTGTTCTGACTACACACTGAAAAAATACTAATACCGTATTTTCCCCCCAGAAAACATAACATCTTTTATGACTGTTGTTTTGTGCATGGCATAGTTTAGGGAAGGGAAATAGCCCAAATTCTCTACTTTTCTTCTGTTTCCTAGTTGTTGCTTTTTTCTATAAATAGTAATAAATACAATACTATTATTCCTTCTGTTTTACTTAAATTCCATATCCCATTCACATTTCACCTAGGAATCCTTATTGATACCTATAAGATCAAATATCAGATTTACTTTGTTCACCATCGTTCTGTGTACTGACCTAGAGACAGTTGTCAATTTATTTATTTTTGAGATATATGCAGTAAAAAGTGCACAAATCAAGTGTATAGCTTAATTTTTATATGTAATATATTTATATACTGTATATGTATCAAATAACAATATAGAACATTTCCAGCACACCATAAAGCTTCCTCATGCCACTCTGTCAATTTTCCGTTAAAGATAGTGACTGTTTTGAACTGTGCCACAGTTGTGCTTGTTTTGAACTTCACGTAATGGAATCCTGCTGTGTGTATTCTTTCATGTCTGCTTCTCTCAATATTTTGTATGTCAGATTCATTCATGTTGTTGAATGTAGTAGCAGCTTGTTCACTTTTATTGCTGTATTACTATTATTATTATTATTATTACATCGCTCTATCACTCATTTGCAGGTTATTTATCCATTCAACTCATGATGGACATTTGAGTTTTTACCTGGTTGGGGCCATCACAAATAGTGCGCTATGGACATTCTTACACACGTCTTTTGATGGATAGAAGCACTCTAGGTCTGTTAGGTACATACTCAAAAGTAGAATTGCTGGGTTCCAGGGTGTATTCATATGTCTGGCTTCAGCAAATATTGCCAAAGAGTTTTTCAAAGTGGTTGTACAAGTCTGAATCCCCATGACCAATGTATGAGAGTTCCATTTGGTCCACATCCTCACCAAACCTTGGTGCCGACATTCTCGTGCAGGTGTGGTGGGATTTCATTGCGCCATACATTTGCTTTCTTGATACCTAAGCATGATGAGCGCCATTTGCACTTACTGGCTATACGGATACCTTCTCTGCGTGAGGTATAAATTCGTGCTCACTCAAAAATATTCAGTTGTTGGGTTTTTTTAAATCTTTAATCTGTAGGACCTTTTATATATTCTGGTAGGTCTTTTGCCAGATATATGTATTGAAAATATCTTCTCCCAGTCTATTGCTTACATTTCCATTCAATTGATTTTATCTTTTGATAAATAAAGTTCTCTTTTGTGTGGGAAGTATTTTATTTTTAATTTTTTAATTTTTTAAATTGATGTATAGTTGGTTTACAATATGGTGTTAATTTCTGGCATACAGCATAGTGAGTACATCTTATATATCTATAAATTCCTTTGCATATTCTTTTTCACTATAGGCTATTACAAGATATCAAATATAGTTCCCTGTGCTATACAGGAGGATATTGTTATTTATCTATTTTGTGTGTGTGTGATTTTCTTATTTTAATTAATTACTTAATTTTACATTTCTTTTTTATTGAAGTATAGTCAGTTTACAATGTTGAGTCAATTTCTTATGTACAGCATAATGTTTCAGTCATACATATACATACATACATTTGTTTTCCTATTCTTTTTCACTATAGGTTACTACAAGATATTGAACATAGTTCCGTGTGCTATACAGGAGAAACGTTTTATCGATTTTATAAATGGTAGTTAGTATCTGCAAATCCCAGACTCCCAATTTATCCCTCCACCTAGAAGTTATTAATTTTAATGCAGTATAGTCTATCAATCTTCTCTATCACAAGCAGTGTATTTTCTGCCTTGTTTAAGATATTTTTGTCTGCACCAAGGTTATGGGGTGATTTTCATATATTTTCTTGAGAAGCTTTATTTGTGATACATTCAGGTCATCTCAGGTTAATTTTTTTGGGAGAGGTGAAGTTTAATTTTTTTCCACATGGATATCCAACGGATCTGGCATCATTTACTGAAAGGACCATCCTTTCCCCTGCTGAGGTGCAGTGGCCTCTTGATTGTAAATCATGTGACTACACATACCTAGGTCTGTTCTAGACTCAGAATTCTATTTGTCTTTTTTTTTTTTTGAAGGGGGAGGTAATTAGGTCTATTTATTTACTTATTTGTTTTTAATGGAGGGACTGAAGATCGAACCCCGGATCACGTGCATGCTAAGCACATGCTCTACCACTGAGCTACACCCTCCCTCCGTTTGTCTATTCCTGCACCAATATTACAGTCTTGGTTATTGTATGTTTAATGTTATCCTTGACATATGATAGTGTAAAACCTCTAGTTTTTTTCCCCTCCATGACTGCCTTCTTTATTCGTGGCCCTTTGTATTTCCATGTATATGTATTTTCAAAGAGAGTCTTTAGTCCAATTTAATGTAATTATTGAAATGCCTGGATTCAAGTGCACTATTCTTGTTTTTTAATTTGTCCATCTGTTTTCATTCCTTTATTTCTCCTTTCTTGCCTTGTTTTGTATCACACTATTATAGGTCCACTTGTCTCCTCTATTAGCTTTTTGAATAGCTTCATTGAGATATAATTCACATACCATGCAATTCACCCATTTAAGCTATACAATCCCATGGCTGTTAGTATATTCAAAAAGATGTGCCCCTACCTACCGCAATCAACTTTACGACATTTTCATGACCTCAAAAAGAAGCCATCACCGTCCCATCCCCCACATCCCCCAGTCCTAGGCAACCACTATTTTCTGTCTCTACAAACTCATCTATTCTGGGCACTTCATATAAATGTTTGGGAAAATAGCCTCAAGGGGTATGAGTGTGGTATTGTCTGAGTGTGTGTGTTGGTATGTGTGTGTAAGAAACTAAGAAGGAAAAGAGGGAAGTTGTGAATAACATATTAAATACGGAAAAATGACAAGAAATTAGAAGTGTGAATAGAGTAAGACTTTATATTTTCTTGAGCACGGACAAGCAGGTGTGCTGAAAGATCAGGTTAATAAATAGGGATATGGAATTCCATGTCCTTGGTGAAGTTTACTAAGAGAAACGGACATTTCACAGATGAACCAATCTCTTAAGTGGAAAAGTTTAGGTTCTCAAATATCTGCTGCAGAAAGACTACACACAGTGACTTTCAGCAGTGCAGTAAGAGCCAACAAGCTGAAGCCAGTTTTGCCCTTCAAAGGAAAGGTGTACTTCGGCCACTCCTTTTTTCTAGAAGGTAAATAAAGGTGACTAAAGCAATGGGTGATCCAAAGCCTGTATTTTCCTTATATGGACAGAAAAGATCTCATAGGGATTTTGAGTTTCATTATTCATAATGAGTCTTTCTTTTTATTCTTATAACATGCAAGCTTGTTCCCCCTGGCTCTATGCTCAGTTTCCCTTTAATGATCAAAGTCTCAGCTCAAATTGCCACCCCCACAGATAGATTTTCCGCAACAACTGTATTGAGACTTCCCCTCCACCCCCCCACCGTCTCTCCCCTTCAGTCTGTATCCCATCACCCTGTTTTATTGTCTTCTTAGTGTCTACTTACACCAGCTGAAATTACTGTTTTGATGTATTTGTTTATTTGTTGATTGTTTATCTCCTCCTTCCATAATGTGATCTCTTTAAGAGTGAAGACCTGGTCTGGCTTATTCATTGCTATACCCCAGGGCAGTGCCTGCATACAGTAGGGGTGTAGTAAACATTTGTATAATGAATGAGTAAGTAAATGATCTCCCCTCGTACCCTCAAGGGGGTGGGGGGTATAACTCAGTGGTAGAACACATGCCTGGTATGCACAAGGTCCTGGGTTCAATTCCCAGTGCCTCCATTAAGGGAAAAAAACATTTTTTTTAAAAATTGGTTTTTCCCCTAGTACACTCAATTAATTGTTCAGGCCACCGTGCTAGATCCCTACGAGGTTAAGATGGTCCCTGTTCTCTAGAATTTTGAGAAACCAGCACATCAAGTGAAAGCCAATGTTGCTAAGTGTAAAGTCAGGGTCCATACACATTATGGAAGAAAGACAGATTTTAATGTCATGTGAAAGTAATAAAACAGTATAGAGGCAACAGAAAATTGAATAAACCCAATCATTAGATAATGTATGCTTTGTTTCACAAAGGCTCCAATTTCAAGTTTATATACTTATCTGGTTTCTGCAAATCCTGAGTTCATTAAATGAGGTCTAAGACTATGTAAGAGATCAAGCTTTTATGATTCTGAATCCCATACTTACAAGAGTTAGGATGAAGTACTGAGAAGTGCCCCGAGTTTGGGATCAGAGGGCCTGTCCCAGGCTGGCTCTGGGTTGATGGACAATTAACCCCTGAACCTCAGTTTACCTTTAGGAATAGGGATATTTACCCCACAATAACTACAGAGATGTGTGAGGTTTAAGAAATGAAAGAAAATCAATTATAAATAACGTTTATGGGTCACTTCAGATCAGACTAAATATCTGACATTTACTATTCATCTCAACTCTGTAATCCTAGGAGGGGTCATTATAATTCTTATTTTACAGATACAGTATCTGACACCCAGCATGGTCATGTGGCTTAATCAAGATCATACAATTTGTAAGTGGTTTGGCCAGGGTTTAAACCCAGACCCTTCTGCTCTAAACCATTTCGTTTTATGTCTTCTAAACAGTAAAGAGTTGTTCAAAGGTGGTGTGTCAATAACCTTTCAACCAAGAAGTTCTTGCAGCAATAATCAGGGCACTGCCCAGTGAGAGTCTGTCTTGCCTAAGCTCAACTTATATCTACTAAGCCTGAAGACAGTGCTTCTGGTATTCTTAATAGATGCATCGAATTTCCAGCAAAATCATGGGAGTAAAATTCAACCCTGAGTCACCATGTAAGTCCTGATTCTGCATGGGCAACTAACCCATTGTTTTGATTTAGCCAAATCAAAAAAAAAAAAATGCTGACATTGAACTTGCATCTCAAATCTGAAAAAGCCTCTCTGAATTCCTACGTATCAACCATTGTTAGAAAGAATAAGTACAAATGAAGGGAATTAAGTTTAATCCCCCTAATAAATAAAAAGAGCCTCAGCCGGGGTTACAGAGAAATCTCTTCCAGCAGCGCTGTTAGGTAGGGCAGGGATTTACTGTGCTGTTTTGCATTATTTGCTGAAGCATTTAGAATAAGCCACTGTCTGAGAGAGCGGGCTACGTCAGAAAGGAGCTTAACTCTTCTAAAGTAAAAGTGCACGTTCAATCTCTTATTGGATTTCTTTCTTTGAAAACCACTTGTTTTCAGTAAGTAGTTTCTTCCCTGTAGGTTGAGAATAGTAACTTCAAGATCACAGATAGGACCCTGGTGTCTAGGGATTTTTCTTAAATTTTTAGCTTGGGCAGAAGGAAATTGTAATTTAAGAAGGATCATCCAATCTGAGCTGATCCCAGGTCTGAAAATAAATAAGATCCATGTGAATAGTCTGGATAACTGACAAGGAAGTGCCCCCCTCTCACTCTCAGCCGGGCTACGTGACTTACGAGTGTTTGTCACGTCAGGGTTCTTCTCACGGGGACAAAACCACTAAGACAAAATACCAGGCTGTGACAGACCTCGACTAAAGGGGAAAGAGTGAAAACACGTACCCACCGATTGTTACATCTGTCCCAACACTGTTCGATGTCAGCATCGTCTCCTCTTACCTAGACCCTCAAGCAATCTTACCTAGACTGTACTGTCTTATCTTTATTTTGAGGTGACAGTTCTCAAAGGTTTTAGTCTCAAGACCTCTTCATACTCTTAAAAATTATCAAGGACTTCAAAGAACTTTCGGTTGGATTATATCAGATAAAACGAGAAATTCTCAACGTTCAGGCAGACCTCAGAGATTTTGTGGGTTCTGTTCCACCACAATAAAGGGAATCTCCCAATAAAGCAACTCACATGGAGTTTTTGTTTCCTACTGCATATAAAAGTTATATTTACACTACACTGCAGTAGCATTTTGTCTAAAAGATGTAACACCTTAGTTTAAAATTCCTTTATTGCTAAAAAAAAAAAGGCTAACCATCATCTGAGCCTTCAATGAGTCATAATCTTTTTGCTGGTGGAGGCTCTTGCCTCAGTGTTAACGGCTGCAGACTGATCAGGGTGGTAGTTGCTGAAGGGTGGGGTGGCCGTGGCAATTTCTTAAAATAAGACAACAATGAAGTTTCTTTTCACAAACATTTCTCTGTAGCATGCAATGCTGTTTGATAGCATTTTATTCGCAGTAGAACTTCTTTCAAAATTGGAGTCTGTCCTCTCCTACCCTGCTGCTGCTTTATCAGAACTTCTTTCAAAATTGGAGTCCGTCCTCTCCTACCCTGCTGCTGCTTTATCAGCTAAGTTTATGTAAGATTCTAAATCCTCTGTCGTCAGTTGCATAATCTTCCACAGGAATAGGTTTCATCTCAAGTAACCACCATCTTTGCTCATCTGTAAGAAGCAACTCCTCATCCATCCAAAGTTTATCATGAGATTGCAGCCATTAGCCCCATCTTCAGGCTCCACTTCTAATTCGAGTCCTCTTGCTGTTTCCACCCCATCTGCAGTTACTTCCTCCACTGAAGTCTTGAACTCCTCAGTCATCCAGGAGGTTGCGTTCAACTTCTTCCAAACTCCTGTGAATGCTGATATTTTGAGTTCTTCCCATGAATCACAAGTGTTCTTGATGGCATTTAGAATTGTGGATCCTTCCCAGAAGACTTCAGTTTACTTTGCCCAGATAGCAGCTACTGCCTTACAAAATCTGTTTCTTAAATAATAAGACTTGAAAGGCAAAATTACCCCTTGGTCCATGGGCTGCAGAATGGATGCTGCATTAGCAGGCATGAAAACAACATGAATCTCATTGAACATATCATTAGAGCTCTTGGGTGACCATGTGCACTGTCAAAGGGCAGTAATATTTTAAAGGGAATCTTTCTCTTTCCTGAGCGGTAGATCTCAACACTGGGCCTAAAATATTCAGTAAACTATGTTGTAAACAGATGTGCTGTCATCCAGGCTTTGCTGTTCCATTTAGAGACCACAAGCAGGGGTAGGTGGTATAGCTCAGTGGTAGAGCACGTGCTTAGCATGCACGAGGTCCTGGGTTCAAGTCCCAGTGCTTCCACTAACAAATAAATTAAGAAATAAACCTAATTACCCATCCCACCCCCCAAAAACAACCCTCCTCCCAAAATAGGGAAACAAAAATAGAAGGCATAGGCAGAATAGATTTAGCATAATTCTCAAGGGCCCAAGGATTTTCAGAATGGTAAATGAGCATTGGCTTCAACATAAAGTTGCCAGCTACATTAGCCCCTAAGAGAGTCAGCCTGTTCTTTGAAACTTTGAAGCCAGGCACTGACTTCAAAATGCCTTTTACATTAGAGGAGTTCCTTTCAAACTGCAGATACATAGTCTCACTTACTGTTAAATGCTCTCTTTCACTTGAAATGACAGAGTAAATGTGCTTTTTTGTGTGTGTTTATTTTGTTTCTCATTTTTATTTCATTACAACCACTTCGAAAACAGTTCTGCAGATTCTTAAAAAAATGTTAAATATACACCAATCGTATTATCCAGCCATACTGCTCCTAGGCATTTACCCAAGAGAAATGAAAGCATATGTCCATAGAAACGCTTATATCTAAATGTTTATAAGCAAGTTTATTTGTGTTGGACAAAAACTGGAAACGATCTAAATGTCCATCAACAGGTGAATTGATAAACTGTGGTATATCCATACACTGGAATAAGACTCAGCAGTAAAATTGAATGAGCTATTTATACATACTGCAATATGGATGACTCTAAAAATAATTATGCTGAGTGAAAGAAACCATACGAAGTACATACTGTATGATTCCATTTATATGAAAGTCTAGAATATACAAACTAATCTACAGTGACAGAAAGCAGGTTAGTGGTTGCATAGGGTCAGGAAGCAGGAGCAGGGAGGGGATAGCGAAAGGAATTTCAAAGGGACGTGAGGAAAACTTTGTGGAGTTACACACCTACTGGAGTGGCTAAAGTTAAAAGACCATTCTAAGTGTTCATGAAGGTGTGGGACAATCAGAATTCTCATCCACTGCCAATGAAAAAGTAAAATGGTTAATTTTGGGAAAGAGTTTGGCAGCTTCTTAAAAAGTTAAATATATACTTAATAAACACCCAGCCATTCCACTCCTACATATTTATTCAAGAAAAATTAAAACATGTTCACACAAAGACTTATATCCAGTAGCAGCTGTATTCACAATAACCCAAACCTAGAAATAGCCCAACTATACATCAACAGGTAAAAGAGTAAACCTTTTGGTACATCCGTTAAATGGAATACTACTCAGCAATAAAAAAGGAATGAATAACTGAAAAACTCAACAACATATGTAAATCTCAAAATCATTATACTTAAAGATGCCAGACCAAAAAATAATACCCACTGTATGATTCCATTTATGCAAAAGTCTAGAAAATACAAACAAATCTATAGTGACAAAAAGCAGATCAGAATTTCCCTGGGGATGAGAGTGAAAGGAGGGATAAATTAAAAAGGGGTAGGAGGAACAATTAGGGATTGTTGGAAATGTTTGTTACCTTGGCTTTGATAATGGTTTCATGAGTGTATGTCAAACTTATCCAGTTGTACACTGCTCCCCCCACACACATGCAGCATATTGTCATCCATTGCACCCAGAGAAATCTGTTGCAACAAAGAACTGGAATATGAGAGTGGGTGTCAGGTGCTACAATCAATGCATGGAGGAGGCGGAGGGTAATAAGAGGCTAAAGGTGTTTATCAGCGATTTTAGGCAAAGCATGGGAGCTGGAAAACGTCCTTGACAGCAGACACTCAGCTCTTGTAGCATGAAGGCAGAAAAAGCTGAGGATCATATTCAGCCTTTAATTATAAGAGAAGTGAAGTGCCAGAAACATTTGATTCTCAACCCAGGCAAGTCAGCTTCACCACCGTCAGGGCATTGATTGGGAAGGACTGTGACCCTCAGGCATAGCATGGGGCCTTCTTGGTTAAAGCATGCAAAAATCTTGAATCCCCAGATTCCTCTGGGCCTGAACAAGTGGCCCACTCCTCCCTACTCAAGGCTAGCTCTACTTACCTCCTTGAACATGATGTGGAACCCTCTGCTTTGCAAGACAAATGCCATCCCCACACACCTCTACCCAGGATACACCTTCACCTCTTATCCTGGCTACCAGATAGTAAACTAGGTTCACTCACAATCTAACCCAACTGAGGAGGTGCCGGGCCTGCAAAGAAGGACAAGGAGCTGCAGGGCCTAGCTAACGTGGACTGGAGGAGCTGGGAAAATACGTACAAGGCTGGGACATGACATGAGTACAGAATCGAGACAAAAAATAAAGTCAGAGAAGGGAGAGTTTATCCATATTCGGTCATTCTCTTGTCAGATAATATTTAACATCTTGTGTTTAACAACTGGCTAATAAAATTCCTTAAAACGTCACAATTGGCTCTTGTAAGAGCTGAAAAGAGCCAGCCAGCTCTAGCACACCGCTGCCTACAGCAGATGGTGGGAGATGCTGGCACCCAGCTGGGATACCTGATAGCAGTAGAAATGACAGGATCCCCCCAAAACAGGGGCCAGGTGGCAATGCTCATCAGAAGCAAGGTGGGAGCAACTATGGTCATGAGCAGCAGTGGGGACACTGACTCTCGGGGAACTATGGCGATGAAGAGAAAATGAGTCCTTAAGGGCAGGAGAGGGAATCAACAGAATCAGACGAAACCAAGGGTGAATGATTAAACTCCAGAGGGGAGCTGCCCCAGTAAAAAGTCATGATCTCTTCCCTATTTCCAATCCTGAGTCCCCTTTCAGATTCAGAACCCACCGATCTCATGAGGCTCCCCGACAACACCGCACAAGTGTCTATGACAATAATTCTCCTGACCTACCCCACAGGGGCCCATGGCTATTTGTTCAGGTAGCCGTGTACACGGGAAAGAGAAATACCACGGCGTTTTGAGGAGTGTTGGCTGTAGGGTCTGATTTGACATTAATACCTGAGAATCCAAAGCATTATCATGGCTCTCTTGTTGGGAAATAATAAATGGTGTCCTGGCAAAGATCCCACACACGTAATAGGTCCACTGGTTCCATGATTTATCCAGTGACCCTCTCCCCAGCTGCTGAACCCTGCAGTTAGCATCATCGCCACATGAGCGCTATGCAAGTGGAAGAAGCCAGGTGGAAGCTCTGAAACTGTCCCTCCCACCCTGCCTTGGTCAAAATAGTAAATAAAAAACAACCGTGCATTGGCAATATTGTAAACAAAAACCAAATATCATAAATATTTGTAAGTACTGTAAACATGAGAACAATTTTATAAAAATTTATTATAAATATTGTAAACTAAAAAACAATTCTGCCTAGAACTATGGCAGAGATTAAAGTCACCCTTAAAGGCCAGAAGGACGCAGGCACTGTGGTCACCATCACATCCCTACTTGATCCACTAGCGTAGCTTCTACAAAACCACGTCCCAGAGTGGGTGCTGGACTCCTGCACATGTATACTCATTTACCCTCCATAACAACCCCATGCGGTCATTGGTAATATTGCCCCCATTTTTCAGCTGTGCTGAGACAGAGATAACCTGCCAAGGTCACACAACCAGTAAGTGGCAGTGCTTAAGCAGGGAGGCACAGGAGCGTGTGCTATTCATCACTTTTTACACTGCCCCGTCACACAGGGCTGCTCTTCAGCTAGAGAGCAGCAGATTTCTGACGTGGAGCCGTGTAACACACTCACATGCATAAACTTGGACATAAAAGATCACCTGCCATCCAGAGAAAGTGCTCACATAACTCGCTTTGTGAGCACTTAACAACCCTTCTATGAAGAGCCATGAAGTTGTGTCCCTGTCCTTTTGTTTTCAGATGAAAAGTAGAGGTTTGGCCATCAGATTCAAGTTACTGGCTCCAGGAGATCACCAGTTCAAATCAGAATCGTATTCCAGGGGACTCCTCTACCTTGTGATGACCACTACCAAGCTAGTTAGTCCCCAGGGACCGCTCAAGGTCACAGAACATCTTGCCCGACCACTTCCTGAATAGAACCAAAGTTCAGGGTCAAACTGCCCTCTTGTGGTGACAGATTGCTACGTGTTTGGTCTCAGAAGCTCCAATCTGCAGCATGAGTGCCTGAATGGGGCTTTCCCACCATCTGAGGCCTTTCTCAGGCAACCAGAAGAAAGGCAAATTTGCAACCGTAAATAGGCAGGGGCAAGCAGTTCTGCCGAATTCAAACATGAGTGAAACAATGTATTACGCAGCTTAGAAATGTGCTGCCTTAGACCTTATTATTGAACATGACCCCTAAATATAGTTTATGTTAAATACTGAGTTTTTATTAAATACATGTCCCCCAGTTGAAGAGACAGAACATCATCACACAACCTTAAAAGGCCCTCTTTGCTCCTGACAACTGCTTCTTTCCACCAGAGAGGTAATCACTGCCCTGAATTTTGTCTTTGGAATCTCCTTGCTTTTAAGTCATATATAAACAGACATTAATGAGTTTGTCCTGAACATATGCAACCCTGGCCAAGAATCCATAGAAGCCAATGGACCATATATCCAAATGTATGAAATTCATAAATCAAGCTAGCCAATTATTAATTTAAAAAACGTTTGTCCTCCTGCCTGGGAAAGTGAACCTTTCTAAAAACCCAGAAAGTTGGATTCAAATTTCTCAGATGACCGATGAAGTTGAGCATTTTTACACATTTACTGGCCATTCCTCTGCTGTGAAATGACTATTTTGTGATTCTTCCAATGGGTTCTTTGTCTTTTTCTTATTGGTTTATTTTCATATATTCTAGATACTAACCGTTTGTTCAGTTACAAGTGTTGCACATACCCGCTCCCAGGTTGAGCACGCACTTTCACTTTTTGGAGAACTTTCATGAACAGAAGCTCTAAATTTTAATGTAGTTAAATTTATTAACTTTTTTCTAAATTAGTTAATATATGTTAAAAGTTTGAAGCAGTGCCTGATGCATATTATTGTAATTTTTATATTATTTTCCTTTATAGCTATAGCTTTTTATATCTACTTTTAAAAGATCCTTTCTTATTCTGAAGTTATACAGATATTTTCCCAAGAATGTCTCCTAAAAGTATCAGATATTTGCCCTTCACCTGGCATGTTTTTTTCCTTCTTTTTTTTAATAAAAGCTTTACTGAGATACAAATAGCATTCCATAAAGGTTGCCCTTTTACGGGGGTGAGTATAGCTCTGGGGTAGAGCACGTGCTTAGCATGAGTGAGGTCCTGGGTTCAATCCCCAGTACCTCCATTTTTAAAAAGTCACCCTATTAAATCATATAATTCAGTGTTTTTCAGTATATGCACAGAGTTGTACAATTACCACTAATTCCATAACATTTTCATCACTCGAAAAAGAAACCCCGTAGGCACTGGCTTTAATAAACAGCATATAGATAACTAAAATTCCAGCACCATTTCTATTCTTTCCCCAATGATTTGCAACATCATCTCTGTCACAAATCAAGTCTTAGTGTCTGTGTTGAGTTCTGTTAGATTTTCATTCTCTTCCATTGGTCTACTTGACTATCCCTGGACTGATTAATATGTGCTGTCCTATTTCCCATTAAAGCAATTTGTCATTGTCTTTTCTCATGAGAATCTCGGTATCTACTGACACTTTGTACTTCCATACACATCTTAGAAATAACTTGGCCATTTCCACAGAAATTCGTTAGAAACTTCACTAACGCTGTGTTAAACCCTGAGGAAAATTCATATTCACAATACTGACTCTTCTGTCCCATAAAGGTATTTCTCTCCATTTATTCTAGTTTTTTTAAATATTCTAAACTTCTGCAATTTTTCCTCAATTTTCATTGTTTCTCCCTAAATGTATCACATTTTTATTGTAAGCTTAAAAGTTCATTTTTAAAATGCTATTGAAAATGTTCTTTTCAAAGTATCTTTTCCTACCATTTGTTGGCATAGTGCATGCACATTGTTTTTATGTCCAAGGACCTTTCCAAAATTTATCTATAGAATCTTCATTTTCGCCCCAGGTAATTATTTCATCTTTAAATAGTAAGACTTTGTTTCCTTTGCGCAATTTTTATTTCTTTTTGATGCTTAAATGAATTGGTATGACCACTGGCACAAAATACACGTGGCTATAGCAGGCATCTTTGTCTTGTTCCCAAACTTAGAGGGAATACATTTGACCTTTCAGTAAGTTTGCTGTACTTTGTTAAGTTGCTCTTCACATTATAAAACTTTTGTTCTCTTTGCCAAGAGTTTCCCCATAAATGTTGAATTTTATCAAATGCTTTTCCTGCATCAAGTTAGATGATCATGATTAATCTATTAATGACAAATTACATTTTCCAATCAAATCAAAGATTCCATCAATTTTAAAACATACTATTATTTTATGCTCCAATAAGGAAAGAAAAAATAGCTTCCCATTGAATATTTCCCTTTAAGGGAAAATTAAGAAAAAATAGAGGCATCTAAGAATTGATAAAATACAAACTAATTTATAAAGATAAAACTGCCATGCGTTCCTGGAATTAAACACAAGTTTATTGTGATGTATTCACTTTTTCATTACCCTCTGGCTTTAATTTGCTATTATTTTTGCATGTTCATGAGTGATATGGGCTGTAACTTTTATTTTTGTACCGTCCCTGTCAGATTTGAGGAATGAGATTTATCTGTTTTGTATAATACTGGAATTTTTTCCTCTGAATGTTCAGTAAAATTAATAAAACTCTCTAGGCTTGGTGCTTTATTGGTGGGTTACAGTTTTGACTACTGATTGAATCTCTTTATGAAGGTTAAAGGACCATGATTTGTAGATCTTCCTGAACCTACTGGCTGAAGTTTTTTTTTTCTAGGAATATATCCTTTTCACCAAAATTCTCAAATGTATTGGCGTGAAGTTATTCAAATTTTCTCAACATTTTAAGATCAACGTACATAACTTTTAAATTCTACATATTGCTTATTTACGCCAGATTTCTTTTCCCCTTCATTAAACTTGCCTAAATTATCCATTTTGTTACTCTTCTTGAATTTCAACTTTGGGCTTTCCTCATTCTGTCATAGTATGGTTGCCTCCTTAACTTCTTCTGTTACCTTTATTATTCCCTTCTTCTTTATTTCCGTTTGAAGCTTAGTGAATTAATTTTCAACTTCTATTTTTCTAATATAAGCAAGGAAGGTAACAGTGCATCTAAGTGCTGTCGTAGCAGAATGCCTGAACTTTCCATATGTAGTTCGTTTGCATTCAGTTCTGCATTATGTCCCAATCTCCATTATCATCTCCTCTTTGATCCCCAAGTTGTCTCTAAATGTTAGGTTGTTAACATTTGCTTTTATTAATTTTATCCTAAATGTGTACACAAGATGTTCTGAATCAGAGATAGATTTCTTCTTATCTCAAGGTCAGTAAGTATCTCTGCCCTCTTTGCCCCAGACTTAGCTGTGTGGCTATGCGATGAGATTCATGGGGGTTTTTTCCTACACAAGAGTGGTGATCAGTAAAAACAAATCCACACTTAGGTACAGGACTTTATTTGACTTTATTGTGATAGGGAGAGAGGAGCTACTGCAACAGGGGCAGGGATACGACAGTAATTGGGAGACAGCTCTGACCATAAGACCTGTGAACACTTCAGAATCAGGTGGAAAATGACTTTCAGTAGGAAACGATAAACAGGGCTAGAAAGATCTGGGTGTGAGGGAGGGAGGTGGGCAGATGACAGAATGGGATAATTGATCAGGGATGTCTCTTGTTGTGGCCAATTTTCAGGAGGTGTCTTTGTGGAGACTATTCCACACCCCAGTGGTGACCAGGCTGATGGTGGATTAAAGTTTAGGGGTCTGGTGGGGAGAAGCCTAATGTTTCATCAAGTCAAGGTTAGGGTATTTTCTCCAGGTTGGTCTTTGAGAACAAACAGTTCAAATAATTAGTTACAAAATAAAGAATGAGAATTTGAAGGGTGTGGTTCCTCCATAGAAGCCCCACTGTCAACTCAGGCAGGAGGAGGGAGGGGCAGGACCCCCGGCTAGCAGCCTCTCTCTACCCCCTGCCTCACAGCAGGTGCAGCTCCTTCTGGGAGTGCACAAGCGCTGGCGGGTTGCCTCAAGCAGAAGCGGGGCCAAAATATGAGCTGTGTCCCAGACAGCTTTGGCAGATTTACACCACCAGTGCCTCTGGAAGCCCAGTGCTTGCAAGATATCCAAGGAGTAACTGGTGTGCGGCTGGGGCAAGTCTGGATTAGCAGAGGGCATGCAAAAACAGCGGCAAAGCGGGGGTCTGGGCTGATCTGGGAGTGTGACTTCACGCACCTACAGTGGGTCCTGGTGCCGGACTTCGACGCATCTGCTCAAGGTGGCTTAGTGAGCACAGTGCATGGAGGACACCAGGACAGACTGCTTGCATTCCCACGGCCGAGGTGGGGCCAAGGGTAGCACCAACAACAGTGTACTTTGTGAGCCCACACGACAGGTGACACCAGAGTGCATTTCCCAGTGGAAAACCCAGCGGCTCCTCTGCCCGTAGAAGTGCTCCAGTCTCGCCCACCTCACACCAAGGCTCAGAAATAGATCTGGGGCTACTACTCCAAAACTGGGGAGCAGACTCAGCCCCTGACAGGGCTGTGACAACCAAAGAGCAAAGAGGAGGCTCCACTCCACATCCAGTGTTGGTTCTGGTGACCACAACCCTATCACAATCCCCCTCAAAGGGGTAACAGCCAGCACACAAGGACGAAAGACATGGCAGGCATCCATACTAGAAGCAGCTCTCACAGCAAAAATATTAGATGTACACAGGGATGCTCTCACATAAAATCAGCCCTTCAAGACCATGGCAGATAGCTGTTACTCCTAAATACAGAGTCAAAGAAATATAAGTAAATTGAAGAAGCAGAGGAACCACTCTCAATTAAAAGAACAAAAGAAATCCCCTGAAAGAACAAACAACGATGCAGACCTGTTCAGTCTACCAGAACCTGAGTTCAAAAAGGAGATAATAAAAATACTGAAGGAATTAAAAATGGCTATTGATAGAAATGCAGATTATTGTAACAAGGAACTAGAAACTATAAAGAGGAACCAAGTAAAATTAGAACACTCATTTGCCAAGACAAAAACTGAGATAAAGACAATAAATAGCAAACTAAACAAAGTAGAACAATGAATAAATTATTTTGAAGATAGAATAAAGGAAGCCACCCAATCAGAACAACACACAAAGACAAATGAAAAAAATGAAAACAATATAAAAGAACTACAGGATAACATAAAGCATGTCAACCTATGCATAGTAGGGGTCCCAGAAGGGGAAGAATGAGAAAAGGGGGTGAAAAGTGTACCTGAAGCAAATAGTGCTGGAAACTTCTCAAACCTGAAGAAGGTAACAGATACCCATGCACAGGGAACACAGAGTCCCAAACAAGAAGAACCCAAACAGACCTACAGCAAGACATATAATTAAGATGGACAAAGTTAAAGATAAAAAAGAGTCTAAAGGCAGCAAGAGAAAAACCAAGTTAGTTACTAGGAATAGCCGTAAGGCAATACAAGATGAGGATACTACCTCGTTAACACATGCACCCAATCTAGGAGTACCTAAATACATAAAACACACACACAAGTAAAGGAAGAAACTTGATGGGAACACAATAATAGCAGGAGACTTTTAACATCTCACTAACATCAATGGACAGATCTTCCAGACAGAAAATCAACAAAGCAACAGAGATCCTAAATGACACAATAGAACAGTTAGACTTAGTTGGATGTTTTTAGGACATTACATCCAAAAGAAACCAGAATATACAAACTTTTCAAGTGCACATGGAACATTCTCTAGGATAGATCACATAAGTACACAAAACAAGCCTCAACAAATTTAAGAGGACAGAAATTATTTCAAGCATCTTTTCTGACCACAACAACATGAAACTAGAAATCAACCACCGAAAAAAGAAATGAGAAAAAAAAAAAAAAAGACTGCATGGAAACTAAACAACATGCTACTAAAAATCAATGACTCAACGATAAAATCAAAGACAAAATTTGAAAATACCTTGAGATAAATGACACTGAAAATACAACCACACAAAATGTATGGGATGCAACAAAAGCAGTCCTAAGAGGACGTTCACAGCAATACAGGCCTTCCTCAAAAATGAACAATCTCAAATACATAAACTAATCTACCACCTAAAAGAATTAGAAAAAGAAGAATAAGCAAAACCTAAAGTCAGCAGAAAGAAAGAAATAACAGATCAGAGAGAAAATAAAATAGAGATTTAAAATAAATAGAAAAAAATCAATAAAACCAAGAGTTGGTTTTTTTGAAAAAGTAAACAGAATTGACAAACTTCTGGCCAGGCTCACCAAGAAAAGAGAAAGAGAGCACAAATAAGAAAGGAAAATGGAGAAATTACAACTAATATCACAGAAATAGAAAACATCATAAGCAAATACTATGAACAACTATATGGAAACAAGCTGGACAACCTAGAAGAAACAGACAAGTTTTTAGAAACACACAGTCTACCAAAACTGAATCACGAAGAAATAGATCATCTGAACAGACCGATCACTAGAAGTGAAATAAAATCAGCAATAAAAAAAACCTCCCTGCAAACAAAAGTTCAGGACCAGACAGATGGCTTCACTGGGGAATTGTACCAAACATACAAAGAACTCATACTGATCCTTCTCAAACTCTTCCAGAAGACTGAAGAGGAGGGAATCCTTTCAAACTCATTCTGCAAGGCCACTGTCACCCTAATACCCAAACCAGACAAAGACACTACCAAAAAAGAAAATTACAGGCCAATACCTTTGATGAATACAGATGCAAAAATTCTCAACGAAATATTAGCAAACTGAATCCAGCAACACATAATAAGAGATCACACACCACGATTAAACCGGATTCATCCCAGCGTCACAAGGAAGGTTCAAACATACGCAAATCACTGTGATACACCACAATGACAAAAGTCAAAAACCACAAAATCATCTCAATAGATGCAGAAAAAGCATTTGATAAAATTCAACATCCATTCATGATAAAAACTCTTACCAAAGTGGGTACAGAGGGAATGCATCTCAACATAATAAAAGCCATTTATGACAAACCTACAGCCCACACAATGCTCAATGGTAAAAACCTGAAAGCTTTCCTGCTAAAATCTGGAACACGACAGTGATGCCCACCCTCACCACTTACATTCAGCAAAGGATTGGAGGTCCTAGCCGCAGGACTCAGGTAAGAAAAAGAAACAAAAGGGATTCAAACTGGAAAGGAAGAGGTAAAATTGTCAATACATGCAGATGACACAATAGTAAAAATAGAAAACCCTAAAGGCTCCACACAAAAACTACTAGGACCTATAAAGAAATCTATCAAAGTAGCAGGATACAGGACTAACTTACAGAAATCTCTTGTATTTCTTTATACTGTCAATGAAACATCAGAAAAGGAAAGTTTAAAAAAAAACCTGCCTTTTAAAACTGCATCAAAAAAACCAAAAACACCCAAAAAACTTAGGAATAAACTGAACCAAGGAGGTGAAACACTTATACACAGAGAACTATAAAACACTGATTAGGGAAATCAAAGATGATTCAGAGACTGGAAAGATATCCCATGCTCTTGGATTAGAAGAATTAATATTGTTAAAATAGCCATACTATCCAAAGCAATCTACAGATTTAATGTGGTCCCTATCAAATTACCCATGACATTTTTCAAGAACTAAAATAAATATTCCTAAAATTTACATGGAACCACAAAAGACCCAGCACTGCCAAAGCAATATTTAGGTAAAAGAACAAAACTGGAGACATAATCCTCCCAGACTTCACACAATAGTACAAAGTTACAGTAACCAAAATAGTGTGGTATTGGCACAAAACCAGACATATGAATCAATGGGAACAGAATAATGCCCAGAAATACATCCATACACCTATGGTCAATTAATTTTTGACAAAGGAGGCAACAATATACAATCAAGAAAAGACAGTCACTTCAGAAGTGGTGTTAAGAAAGCTGCAAAGCTGCGTGTAAATCAATGCAGTTAGAAGACTCCCTCACACCATACACAAAAATAAACTCAAAATGGCTTAAAGATTTATAAACATAAGACAGGATACTGTAAATCTCCTAGAAGAGAACATAGGCAAAACATTTTCTGACATAAATTATGGCAGTCTTCCTTGGTCAGTCTTCCAAGGCAAAAGAAATAAAAGCAAAAATAATCAAATGGAATCTAATCAAACTTATAAGCTTCTGCACAGCAACAGAAGCCATAAATGAAACAAAAAGACAGCCCAAGGAATGGGAGAAAATATTTGCAAATGATGTGACTGACGAGGGCTTAATTTCTAGAATATACAAACAACTCATACAACTCAATAACAAAAAAACAAACAGCTCAATCCAAAAATGGGCAGAAGACCTGAACAGACATTTCTCCAAAGAAGATAGGCATGTGAGAATATGCTCAATATCACTAATTATCAGAGAAATACAAATCAAAACTACAGTGAGGTATCACCTCACACTGGTCAGAATGGTCTTCATTAAAGTTCACAGTAGCACTATTTGCAATAAGCAAAACAAAGCAGCAACATAAATGTGCATCAACCAATGACTAGATAAAGATATGTTGTGTGTGTGTGTGTGTGTATGTATGTGTGCATATATATGTGTATACACACACATATATATATAATGGAATACTATTCAGCCATAAAAAAGAATGAAATAATGTCATTTGCAGCAACATGACATGGACAGAATTAGAGATTATCATACCAAGTAAAGTAAGTCAGACAGAGAAAGACAAGTATCATATCATTCATATATGTAACTTGAAAAAGTAGAATAATACAAACAACTTTATTTACAAAACAGAAAGAGGCTTACAGAAAAAACAAACTTATGGTTACCAAAGGGGAAGGAGGTGGGGGGGGATAAATTAGGAGCTTGGGATTAGCAGATACAAACTACCATATATAAATAGATAAACAAGGTCCTAATGTATAGCACCAAGAACTACATTCAATATCTTGTAATAACCTATAATGAAAAAGAATATGAAAAGCAATATATATAACTGAATCACGATTCTGTACACCAGAAACTAACACATTGTAAGTTAACTAAACCTCAATTAAAAAAAAAAAAAAGAATGGGAATTTGGAGGCTCTGTCACAGGTATTCAAGGGAGTCATCTACAGATCTTACCTTGGTCATACTGAGGAAGGTGGTTCTTTGCAGTAAGCCATTTCCTGGAATACAATAAAGTAGAGGGATGTCTTAACTTCACTGTTTTCCAGGAGCACGAGTGAGCATGGGGTTCAAGTACATTGTCAGTGGCTAGGTCTTCATCAGCAAAGGACAGGGAGATGGGCTGGGGACTGCTTCACATGCCACACTATACTACCTCTCTACATTCAGCACATCCTGAATGGGAGCATCCTCTCTGGCACCTGTGTTGGGAGAACTCCAAGCGTACAGGGTGTCTATTCCAGTAATACATTCACAGTGGAAACCATGACCACACCTATCAGATTGGTCTCAAAGGTTTTAGCCAAAAAATTTACGTCTCTCCCTCACTGGTCACTTTACCTGGACCCCAAGTTGATTTAAGGCACCCCTTCTCCCCACTGGACCAAGTATGATTAAAACTTGGGCACCCGAATCCAACAAAGCCATGAACGTGTACATTCCTCCTTTCCCTGGGGTCTCCAGAAAATGCCAGTGGGGGAACAGGACCTGTAATCCTTCGGGAAGAGATTTTTCTCTTTACAACAACTTAAATATGGGTAAAAGGGAAGGGAGGAACCAGCGGGTGAAAGACACAGACATCCACTGTTTTCAGTCCTCCCGAAGCTGTGTACTAGGCAGCAAGGCCACCTCTGCCCGGACGTCCACTTCAGTGCCAAGGACCTCCCGGCCCAACAGCATGTCCACAAGATGACGGCTGAGCGAATCTGCTGCAAACAATCTTTGTGAATTATGTAATACAATCTTTATGAATAGTTCAGCATGTGTAATGTCCTTTTTCTAGAATACCTTAAACTGGGGGGGAAAAAAAGCAATTTCAAATATAAGAAAGGTGAGAGTAGTATTTTAACAGCAGTCAGTCTAGCAGCTTTAAGGTTGTAACTTGTCTTATTTCTCTCTGGGGGCTAATTGTATTGAACGGGTTTCAGTATTTTGAAGATTACTTTCTTCTGTGAGCTCCGTATCTTCTACTTCATTCCAGTGTTTAAACATGAAGCGAATTTTAAGTGATGTCAGAGAGTATAAGCCTAACATTTTAATTATCTAGTATGGATAACATTGAACCATTTTATAAGTTAGTGATTCTATAAATTGTCTTGTGAGAGTTAAAATGTGTGCCTCTAAGCAGCATTTTTCAAGAACTGTAGGAGAACCTGATTATGATGGGAATAGGCAGAATCTCTATTGTTCTTATGTTTTCTTAAACTTCGGAGAGTAATACATTGCAGGAAATGCAGCTCAAGATGTTCTGGAAAAAATGTCGTCTCAGGAGATAGAACCAGTTAGTTACAACATGGAACACATTTCAACTCCAGCTTCCTAGTGGAGATCACCAGTGGATTCGAGGCGAACCAAGAGTTGGATGGGTAACTTTATTTATACAACGCTGACACAAATGTCAGCAGTATCAAAGGTGCTGGGGAGACAATGATACTGAAGTGACTGATGTAATGGAAGTATGTTCTGGTCAGATTTGAATGCAGCAATGAAGGCTGAGAGGTTTACAAGATCAGAAGACAGAAACTTTGGATAAATAAAAAGAATGAGAAGGAAATCAGTGACTCAGGAAACATACTCCACTGTGCAAATTAAGGAGAAAAATGGGTTGGGGGGAAAGCAGGTGAAGACATATGGGGAAAAACGGTTGAGAATGAAGAAAATTTTTCTCACAATGGCATGGGAATTCCACAGAGAAGAGGATTTCTTATCAGAAACAAATGTGGAGATGAGCTAGAATGGTTATAAGGTTCTAGAAAAAGAGGGAAAAGCTTCCATAAAAGTGACCTAATTTCTCATCCAGCCACACTTTTTTAAAAGGCAATGTGGTTTCAGAACCATTTCTTGCTCAAGCTCCAAATTTAGCCAACACACCTTTAAAGAGGCAGAAGGATAGCAACCTGAATTCAAGTGTCCACTATCTCTCTCCTGCAGCGTGAGGGCTTTTTTGATTTGTAAAGACTGTAGAAATACAACAGAAATAAAGACAGAAATTATGTCACAGTAGAATTTTACACTACATCTGTTTAATCATATTATGACCATTAATGCAGTATCTGCCACAGTAATTTCACTCAGATATTAAAAAATAATGGCATATTGACAGTTTAAAACTGGTTCACAATTTTACAAGCTTATTTATCAAGAGTGAAAATAGAAGACTATTAAAAATAGCTAAAAAGATAACGTGTCATAGTGCTTAACGTTTCTGTAACTGCTGGTAAGGCTTACATCTAAATCTGATGCCGAATCCTTAATGGCACTGACAGAGTTCTTTCTCAGCCACGTGGTACACATGCACCGGTGCTACGAGTCTGGAAGAGACTGGCTGTGGGTACCACTTCTTGTCTTCAGCTGTGACTGTGCGATATCAGCAAGGGCACTCTGTATCTTTTCCAGAAGCATGTCCCCTCGATAAACCACATCCTCCAGACAGGTGGCGGCTTCGTGGTTTTCTTCTTCCAACTTATACAAGCTAGCAGCCTTTGCAAGACACAAATTTAAGAGTCTTCTGAGAAATGGGAACCTTGGAGATTAAAAGCTGAGGAGGAAAGAAACTGCAGGAGAAGTATTTAATTTTAAATCTGGATGACTATGCAGTCGTTGTGACAGATTTTGCAGTGGCAGAAATCCTAAGATCAGATACGACTTTGAAGAGTTTTTCCTGTGTGAATTATTGAAAAGGATGACTTTTCAACTAGAGATCTCTGGATGGCTATCCGAAGATTCCCTTCCACACTGCTTTTGGACACTGCTACGTTACTCCACATCCAAAACGCCACCCTCCTCTCACTCTTTGCAAGGAAGAGAACCAAACAGGAGAAAATGGGAAGTTTCCTTGTAACTCAAAACTGGACAACTATATACATATTCAGCACAGTCTTTAACAGAGTACAGTAGTTCACAATTCCCATTTTAAAATTCAGAGTAACTTTAAAGTTTGACTATTATAACGAAAGGTACTAAATCTATCTCCTTTAATTCAAAATTCTCTACTAGCAAAATTCTCGAAGGAAAAGAAATTTTTACCTGTAAAGCAGCTGTAGACTCTTCACTGGGTAAAGAATCTATCAAAACATCAATGTCCTTTGCTGTTCGTGCAATTAGCGCTGCAAAAAGCTGGGCGTATTCTAGAGAAAGAGATTAATCGTTTAAGACATCAGAGTAAAAAAAAAATAAAAATAAAAATAAATAAAATAAATAAAAAATAATAAAAAATAATTTTAAAAAAAGACATCAGAGAACCTCAAGTTTTCAGAAATAGAAATTAAATTTTAACTTCAATAAAACCAGAGAACTTCACAACATTTTCTGTACCAGGCTTCTGATGATGAAAGTGTAATTTTAACACATCAATCCTATTACATGTTTGAGAATTAGCTTTAATATTAACTCCAATTGGGAATTAAGCATAATGTACATCATTTCATTTATTAAGACAACATGGTGGTCACTTGCATAAGGGAGTCTGTAAATGGGATGCCTTTCTTACTAAGGTCCCTCAAGCAAAATTCAGCTAAATTCATATAATTCTCCCCTAAAGGAGTAACAATCTGTTACTTGACATGAAAAGAATTATAAGGTGTTATGTAAATTAACTATAACAAATTCATTTCTTTTATGACAGTAACATTTTTAGAAAGCCATAAATAAATTGAATTTTTCAATAAATCTAATTTTAAAGAATTACAGGTAATGTGAGACTCAAACTAAGAGAAGCCAAGAAAATCCGTTTACCTTCTGTAGGATTAGCTGGCTGATCTTTGTTAATTGCTGTCTGAATATTACTAAACGAGGCAGGAGGACCACACTGCTGCAACACTCCAATGGCATTACAAAACTGATCCGCAAGCTTGAGGTCAAAGGAGACGTGGCAAAGTTAGAAAGAACTGATCAGCTTTAAGGATTTCATTGGCAATGGCAGCAATAATATTTCTATAATAATGATCTCCAAGCAAGAGAATAAAACAGGAAAGAGTAATTCTGGATAACATAAACCAGTTACTAACAAGGATTACATGTTCTAATTATGCAAAGAAACATTTGGTATCAATTTTGCTGAAACAGTTAAAAAGAAATACAAAAGAATCTTTCTCTTCTTCCCAAGATAACAGAATGACAAGAGAAACATATGCAGACACATATTGCAAGCACAAGCTAAAACTTTTGGGAGAGTAGTGCGGTAAAAGAACAAATTCAACAGGCAATTATCCCAGGGTAAATTTTAAAATGTGACTCATGTACAAAGTATATGATCCTTTTCCTGAAATCAGGGTAGTTATACATATAAAGGAATAGTGGGGAAAAGACTGCACCTTAAGTATTCCGAAACGTTTTTCTCTAGGACTCAAGTTAAACTCCTAGTGCTCTACGGTATTCCTTAAACAGTTTTGAAGACTGCGAATACCAAGTCCTTACTGAAACCACGTCCCAAAGAGTTAACAGAAGCTGGCACCTTAACAGAAATACCTGAGTGTGTCTTACAGAACACCTGATATGGGAAGAGTTTGTCAGAAACCCCCTGCTTATAACCTGCCTTTACTGAGTAAGCCTGCTTTAGCTGTGTTTTCTTTCTTTCTCTAATCGCATACCCTCCATGCTTCACATGTAGCCTAGGTAATGTATCACCAGACTTCTTACCACCCCCGTAGATAATGCTCCTGATGTATGGGTCACCACAGGGCGTTCAACAAACAAACCTGGTTTCGTAACATTACCATCTCCAAACTTAAGATTCCTATCCTCCCCCCCCCACCAACTTCTCTCAATAGTCCCCACCTCTCAAATCTCAGTTCCTTACCTTGCATCGATGAATAAGCATTTCCACTGTTTCACTGCCATTATCTCAATGACAGAACTCAGAGTCAGTTGTTTCCTTCGTTTAATATCTAACTTATATTGAGAACCTCCTACTCAACCAGCCTAACTTCAGACTCTTAACTTTCCTTTCATCTTCAAATCCTTCTAATACTCCGACACCTCTTTCCATTTTCCTTCTACCATCACTGTTGTTATGTTAGTCCAACCAATTACCTCACAGTTTACGTAGCCTCCTCATCATTCTCTAGTTCACTATGTTATCTTACCTGTTCAAAAATTTTGAGCGCAGCCCAGCATGGTCTTCAAGGTGAATCTCTAACTCATCAGGCTGTTTCAAAGTTGTCAATGATCTAAGTCAACTCTACTCGTTCATTATCTCCCACTCCTTCATATACACCCGACTAGTGATAAATTCACCCCTGACTACACAGCTTCTGCTCACATTTTGCAAATGTAATAAAGCAGCAGTAAGTGCTTCGAAGCTGCACAACTGTGGATTCTAATCCTGGTTCTGGTAACCTGAGTTGTTTTTTTAATTTTTAAACTGGGAACATTCTCACATTACAGCATTGCTATGAGGAATAGAGAAAACACACACAAAAGTATTCAACGCAGTGGCTCTCTGCTATCCTTACGAAGCTCTCAAGATGCATTTAGTCAACGAACATTAAAAATCAACTCTATGACAAGCACTGTACATAACTGTGTGCACATTACAGCAATATGGTGAACAAGACGTTTCTGCTCTCATGGAGTGCTCAGAGGGTAAAATATGTTTTATTCTAATAATTTCACAAATCATTACAGACTAGATACAAGCCAACGGAACTCCATGTAGTTCGTATCACTCAATATACCACTTTACTTACAACTGAAAACACTGGATTCATTGCAACCCCCTAACCACATACTGCTTTTGCATCATTTAAATGTCTCTTGAGTGTGTGATACCTTTCTAATCAGACTGTGAACTCCTTAAGGAGTATCTCTCTGCAAACATGAGTGTTTATATGCACAGCAGGCACTCATATTAGTTACCCTAGAGACTTCTCTCCAAAACCCAATGACTGGCAATGCCCACCTTGGAGCTAAGGCCATATTCACTTTGTTCTGACTATCCTTCTGGCTGGGAGACATCTATGAATATTCAACATTTCCCCTAAAAAAACATTTCTGTCCAGGAGCATCATTACAATTTGATTTTGTAAAATCTCAAAGGAGCAGCTCCTTGAGGGAGGTTGGCTGGCAGCCCAGGCAAGACCCCAAAAGGTGTAACTTATCTTGGTAAATTCATCAACTTTTAGGGGCTGGCCCTCATACACAAAAGTAGATCCGTTTATATAAGCACATTCACACTCTTTAAGACTGAGTCATAACAAGAATGCCAACTTATCAGCTTCCAGTGAGAAAAAACCGGCAAGAGACCAGGTACTTGGATTTTCCAGTCAACATATTCTCTATCTCTAGGCGTGTTACCTGAGACATCAAATTGTAAATAGAATGACAGTGAGAAATGTAACTACCAATGGAAAACTACTTAGTTCTTAATGGTAATAAGTCTATGAATCCTTTAGATTGCATATATTTTCCACGTAGACCTAACAGGAAAAATAACCCAAAGGATCAAAGTAAAGGGGGACTACTTACAAGAACGGACCTTTAATAGGGAGTAGACCTTCTGGTAGACATTTAGAAAAACTTAAGTGAAGATATACGAAGATCGTAAGATTCACTATCATAAAGATGTCAGTTTTCCCAAAGCTGATTTCCCCTGGGGGAGTGGCTAAGAGATGGAACGAGACCTTTGGACTACAGGAACCAACTAAGGTAAACAAAACTACTCACTTTACCATCACTCCCGCCCCAACCTGAAAAGTGTGGCGAAGGAATACTCTCGGCTAATGTCTAATGGCAAAGATCCAACCATTAAAAACACGGATTTCCCTCCGTGGGTTAAAAATTGATACGGGGGTGGAGGGGGGCTTCCGCTTCCTCTCCCCTTCCAGCAAAGAAGAGGGCCCAAAAGCACCACTAACAATAAAATAAGGCCGTTCCCAGAGAAATGACAAGCCCGTGGAGCGTGGCCGTCCCGGCAGCGACGTGCGAAAGAGGCCGCGGGCTCCCGCAGCTCTCCGCACCGCCCGGCCGCCGGCCTCAGACCTCCCACGGCCCGGGCGCTTGTTGCTGAAGCCCGGCCTCAGCCCGCCCCCCGCCACTTCCGAGCTTTGCCTCTCGGACCCCTTTTTCTGCCTTGCCTTCCCTCAGGAGAGAAGAGGCCGGAGACTTTAATCAGGTGCAGTTGCTCACCGAGTTCACGGCGTCCTGCAGCTGCGTGAGCCGATCCGCCATGTTCTTCCCGCAAACAAAGGGACGCTGAAGCCCCTGCTCGTACGCAATTGGGCAGCTGCAGGACGCGTCTTGACCAATCACAGGGCTGCGTTCTCGGAGTGGGTGGAGTCAAACCGAACTTTCCGCCCCGCCCGGAGGGGGCGGGCCTTTCCTGAGGTCGGCTTAATTTAGAGACGGGCTCCACCTGGGGAAACTCCTTTGGGTCCACTCTGTTCTGGGGCCAACGTGCTTTCTCGTGGCTTTTAGGTATTAAACACTTTGCGGAGATTGTTGGATTATGCGGTTTTTAAAAGTAATTTTCCCTGCCCTCCCTTGTATTCATTTTTAAATACCGCCTCGAATACTTATTTTACGTTGCTTTTGCTTTCTAGGTAGACCAGAAAAGGTACACAGCAAGGAACTAAGGAATACTTGGGAGTCACGGTACCAACTTTTGGTTCAAGAAATCCAAAGTAAAATCCACCAGGCAATCAGGACGGGCTGGGTTAGGATGCCCCTCTGTTGCTGTCGGGTGCAGAAGGCCTTCCCCACGTGGAGACTGGTGCGTGTTTACTTCTGAGGGTGGGTGTGCTGAGGAAGCTGACCCACGTGGGACGGAAAGCGTCCGAAACAATTAAGTACGCAACTGAGTTGTAATGGCGGTGTTGGAAGAGTACGGAAAAGGGAGGTCTCGTGGGCAAAGGCGAGAGGAGAAAGAAGAGCATCTGGAGATGGTAAGGGAAGAAGTAAGTTGTGAGCTAGGTCATTGATAAGCATCTCTTGTTTTGTGTGACAGCGAGGAACCTGGAAAGGAACAGAGGAGGGTTAGTGGAGAGGAGAGTGGAGGTTTCACAGTGTGTAGCTGGAAGAGAGGAAAAGAAGCCAGGTGCGTATTTGGGGTAAGTTCAGTTTTTAAAAAGAAAAGCTGTGCTATTCAGGCTGAGACTTGGGACCTGTTGAGGGTATCGGTATGAAGAGTGATAGTAGAAACTTGGTATTTAAGGAAAGTTAGCCTGGGGATAGTCTGGAAAGAAATGAGGCTGGAATCATCTAATGACTTGATTTGTGGACTTCAGACAAACTCACAAGCCCTCCTCCTCAGGCTAATTATCCCTAATTAGCTTCGTGGGGTTGTGGGGAGGTGGAGAAAACTATCCGCTGGGAAGCGTCTGGTGGGATTTACCCCAGCCGTAGCTGGGAAACTCTACTTCTGCTTCAAGCCGACTCCCACCCCATCTCCAAACAATCAAACCTACAAACCTGCTGAGACCTAATTAGGAACCTCCCCAGGTGAGGCACCTGCCCCCACCATTGGCATATTAATGATAGAACCCTAATTTGTTTTAACTGTAGTATGGGGTAATGTTGTGACTACCTCCTCTCACCCCCAGTTGACAGTGTACCTTCCTGAACACCTGCCATGTGGCAGGAAGAATGTTGGGTGCTGGGTTTGCAAAGATGGCTAAGCCAGGGGCTCACAAGGAGGAGGGGTTTGCAGTTATTCAAGGATGAGGTGAATTGGGCCTAGACTAAGGTGTTGACCCTGAGGAGAGAAGAAGAGGCTAGTTTTGAAGGAAAAATTCACGTGGATTGGTTCCTGGTTGGACACAGAGTGATGAAGGAGAGGGAGGGAGAATACTGAGTTTTGTATCCTGACTGAAGAGAACCTGGGCACCTGGGGTAGAAGAACCACCTCAGACAACTCCTGTCACCACACAGCTGCCCACCCACCATTATCTTCCTTGCAGTTGTCAGTAGCTCCAGAGACATCAGGCTGATGTCCAGCCATCTCTGCTTGGGCTTCAAGACTCAGTCTAATCTGGCTCAAGGAAACAGATCCCACCTCCTCTTGCAATAACTTTCTGAGTGAAATAATCACTTAAGATTATTCAGCCACAGCTCCTAGAATCTTGGTTTTCATGGGCTCCTTCAGCCTTTTCTGGCCACGGACCCCTTTAAGAATCAGATAAAAACTATGGACCTCTCCCCAGACCAGGCTCTCAAAATTTTGCATGCATTTTTAAAGGGATTTATTAATCTCCTGAAGCTGGAGACTTCAGGTAATAACCCACCTGCTAGATACAGTCTTATGTGTCTAGTTCAGAAGGTCTCAGCGGTGGCCCTATTGACATTTTAGGCTGGATTATTCTTTTTTCTGGGATGCTGTCCTCTACATTGTAGAATGTTTACCAGAATCACTGTCCTCTACGCATGAGGTGGCAGTAGCAACCCCTTCCCCCAGTGGTGACAACACAAAATATCTCCAGACACACCCAAATGTCTCCTGGAAAGTGTAGGGCAAAATTGCCCCCAGTTGACAACCACTCAGTTCTTTACCTTTGTCAAAACAATTTCTTTGCTGCTATTTAATTCATAGTCTATCTTTTAAAGTTTTACTTTTTCTCACATAAATTTTATGAATAACTAGAGTCCACCCCTGCTCCCTCCTTTCATGATTTTGATACTTTTTCATATGCTTTTGCATTTGCTTTTCTTGAACCCCCAATTGGACAGTTAAGAGCAGAAACCAAGTATTACGTATCTGTTACCGTTTGAACACAGAATTTTGGTAAGTACGTTCTTTTAAACTTTATATTATTAGAAGTTTCAAACATGTACCAAAGTTGAATAGTATGGTGAACACCCATGTACTGATCACCCAGCTTCAGTTAAAACTCATAGCCAATCTTGTAGTAAGTACTTTGATTTTTTAAAATCTGTATATTTTCAGAAAAATTTCTTTTATAGTGCTTTCACTTGACATTCTAGACCCTTAACTACTTTTATTACCTACTCAGTCACAATTTATTAAACATCTAAACTGCCCCAAGCACTGAGCTGAAATACTATAAATAAGCATTTGCTACTTTAAATTCCTTGTCATTCCTACAGATGCTCTGCTGCTTCACTCTCCCCTTGCACACCATGTCAGACGCATTAATTCTCTTTCTCCCTTGAAATGCCCACACTTCCATCCCTGCCTCTAATTTGTTCCCTTGTTGATCATCCATTCAGCTTTCAAACCTCATTTTAAACATTTCTCTCTTTATAAAACCTTTCCTGAAACCCTAGAGAGAAGTTAATAGCTCCCAGTCTTCACCACAATTGTTCCTTCTACTTCTGCTTTTACACTTAGCATATTGAAGTTTAATTATCCATACATGACTCTAATTCACTCACCACCATGAGCTACTTGGGGGCAGGAAACATATTTTAATTGTTTCCATGTTTCCAATACCTAGCACCTAGCATTTAGCCTGACATATGGAAGCCATTGAATGCATATTTATGGGCTAAATGAACAAATTTCCTAGCATAATGATTTCCATATACGTTACTAAATAAACATTTATTGAATTTGATTTAATAAACACAGTCCAAAGAATGTAACTCACAAGAAGAACAAAAGTGTTAAAAATACAGAGTGGAGGGGTGGAGGGATAAATTAGGATTTTGGGGTTAACAGATATATACTACTATATATAAAATAGAAATACACATAGATATACTATAGATAAATGACAAAGATCTACTGTATAGCACAGGGAACTATATTCAATATCTTATAATAACCTGTAATGGAAAAGAATCCAGAAAAGAATATAGCTGAATCTCTTCGCTGTACACCTGAAACTAACACAACATTGAAAGTTAATTATACTTCAATTTTTTAATGGTTATTAAAAAACATAGGGAAAAGGTGAAGTTAGGATGGGATGTGATAAACAGGACCATTCCTGCCTTTCCCCTGGAGTCGTATCCCCACTTCCATCCAGGGTGTCTTGGGTTTGTCAAAAACCTCAGATAGGTTGCCTGCCTTCCTTTCCTAAACTTTAAGCAGACCTTATGGCTCTAGTTATCTCTATCTTGGATTTGGGAATCTTGTCAGTTTTTGTGCTTCCTTTCAGTTCCTAGGAATAAAAACTCATCTGCAAAGCTGGGAGCCCATTTGCTTCACTGGTTTCCAGCGGAACTCTGACATGAACAAGGAACCCCAGCCAATATTCTTCCCAAGCTGTCACAGATTTCAGAGCCGAGGTAATGAGGCCCTCTTCTAATTACTGGCACGTCTGTCGTTAGCTGTCTGCAGGCACAGGGAACTGCAGTGCAGAACTGTGGAGGAGAGAGAACGCGCTCAGTTCAGGGAAGTGAAATTCATTCCGCACAGTCAGCATAGAGGAGCGGAGGTGTAAACCCTGGAGAGCGGGACAGGAGCTACAGCTTGAAAAGCACTGTGTCATTCTCAGGAAGACGGGCTCTTATCTAGAATGCTTTTACAAGAGAACCTTTCAAACTATATGTATCTTTTTAAAATTTTTATTTTCTTATTCAAAAGCCATACACATTCAATGTAGAATTTTTACAAAGTGCAGAAATGTGCAAAGAAAATCATTCTTAATCCAACCACCTGAAGAGAAACGATTTTAAACATTTTGATAATTTTCTTTCAACCTTTCTATGCTTATAAACACAAATGCATATTAAAAAGATAACAAAAAAGATTATACTATGTATATTTATTGCTTTAATTTGCCTTTTTATAAACACTTCCCGATCAGTCAGTTGCCTTCTAAAACATGACTTTTGAACGGCTACACAGTATTCTATTATATGGATGATCACAGGTTATTTAATTCCTTATTGCTGGGCATTTAGGTTGTTTTAGGGTTTTTTGCTGTTGTAAGTAACACCTTGAACAGTTTTGTACACTAGTTTTTATACATATCTCTAATTTTATACATGTTTAAATCTAAAAATGGAATTATCATACTAAAACCATGAATCTTTTTCAAGATTCTTTAATGCAAATCATGCAACTTCATAAAATTGTATGAAATTACACTCTCACTAGTCCCGTCTTGGAATGTCTACTTCTCAGCTCTTTCATCCACCAAATAGGTTTTTATTCTTTTAAAATATTTACAGTTTAGTTTCTTAATTTGATTTTTTTGTGTGTGTTACTAGTGAATTTGAACTTTTAAAAAATGTATTTGTTGGCCATTTGTATTTCTTCTTCCTTTATTTTTTTAAATTCCCTATTCTGTTCTTCGCTAATTTTTATGTTTGGTCATCAACTTGACTTCTCATATCATTTATTGTCTATGTTTTTGTAGTTGTTGTTTGGGGAGGTAATTAGGTCTTTTTTATTTTTAATGGAGGTACTGGGGATTGAACTCAGGACTTCGTGCATGCTAAGCACACACTCTACCGCTGAGCTGTACCCTCTCCCTGTCTATGGTGTTGTCTTTAATAAAACTAAAAATTTAAGTACCCAAATCTACCAATCTTTTCCTTTATAGTTTCCTCCTTTGCTTTTTTGCTTAAAAATTTCCTCCACTGAATGTTTCTAACCACTTCCAGTTTGGCGCTGCCAGATTCCAGTAGATTCTTGCTCAAATAAACTCTTAAAAGAAAAAAAAGAAGGCAGTTCCTCCCTTTCAGAGAGGAGTTTTTTGTTTTTGTTTTTACATGTATTTCTTCTAGCTCTCTTAAGGTTTTATGAATCACTTTGGGATTTCATTTTGGCTGCGTGAGGCGGAGTTTTACTCCTCTCTCTCCAATACAGTGCAGCTAAGCAGTTATCAGACAATTTATTGAAAAATCCATCCACTGATCCAAAAGCTACCCTTATAATCGCTCCTAGTACCGTTCTGGGATTTCGTCTACTGAGAGTCACAGGAATGAGGGCATGTCGGACAGTAAACACCGTGGGACTAAACCGTGCTACCACAGGTGTGAACGTTTGGACCAAGCAGGGGAAGGACAGGAAAAGATTTGTGCCTGTTAGTATTATGGTGATTGCTATAGTCAGTAGTGGAACAGCCGAATATGTAATTTTCAAGATAGTTGCTCATTAAACTATATAAATGAAAAAGTTAAAGATCGGGAAAAAGAAAGCAGGGCAATCTTCCCCAAATAACTTTGAGTCTATAGATCGTCTATAGATCTAATTCCACAGTCGTCTCACGAGCCATCTGTGACATGGACTGCTGTCCTTTACACGCCCTCAGGTATAAAATCTGAGAGAGGAAGTTCAGGTGAAGGTCTTGAGCCTTCGAGGATATTTCGCTTCCAGAAAACGAAACTTTCCCCCCCAATGCGCAGCAACCGCTGCAGAAACAGCGCTGCCCCCGCGTTTTCGTACATCTCCATGGACAGCTAAGGCAATTGCGACAGGGAGAAACGATCATTTCTAGCGTTTTGAGCACCAGATTCCTCTTTTTTTTTTCTGTTTGCAAAGGACCGTTAAACGTGGGAACGGGAGCCTTGAGACGTTAGGCCACAACAGAAGGGGTTATTTTTTTAACTCGAACGGTGGTTTTCGTAAGTGAAGACAGATACACCTCAGAACTTCCTGGGGGCGCGGGGATCCCGGGAGCGCGGCCGGCGGG